CCGAAAGGCCAAAAATCAGAAGGCAGATGATTGTAGTAGTCGTATATATTTGTTGGCAATCTCGTGGTATCGAAAGAATACCGAGATCGTGCCAAAGGAGTACAAGTGTGGTTACTGAGCGTAACCGGATTCGTACAAGTTCGAAGTCAACGGGAGAGTAAGTATAATGGCTGTCATTAGCACAGTTAAACAAACGAGCACAGTAAAACAGTCACTGGTACAATTGGTTATAATAATAATTGTTTTCATCGATCCAATCGCGTTCTGTTGACAAAAGTAGGTCACTACAGGAGCCCCCCGCTAGAAAGGGTTTACACTTTCGATAGTTAGCGGTTTGATTCGTGGGACTGATCGGCAGAATTGCGGTTGTAGGACGGAGGAAATTGACGGAACAGGAAGTGATCATTGATCCTCGAGTTGCCAACGAAAGTCTTTTGCGCAGAACGGTACCAGGAGAAGTGTGCTGTATTTGTTGGTCGAGTTAGCATACCACACCAGAGTGGTTTGTATCCAGAATCTGATGATTGCGTTCGTAGGGATGTGAACCAGAAAACGCTGCAGACGTAGGATGAAACCACGTTGAGCCAAGAAACCGGACGCGACCATAACGACCAAGCGTATGCCAGGCGAATTCGAGACCAGATAATCGACTGAGTGCGTTGACTAGAGCGTGGGTGATTAGGCCAGCTTTCGCCAAAATTGACTGAAGTCGACGTTATCAAACGGGCGATGGTCGGAGGCGTGGGCTCAGGATACAAAAAAAAATCAAAAAAAGAAAAGTGTAGCATGCGCGTAGTATAGGAATAATCCTACACCGTATCCGTTATTGACTGTGCGGTTAGTCGCGAAAGCGTACGGGTAATCGTACTCGGCGACCGGAACGTGAGACGGTAGTCTCGTTCGTACTCCGTGAGCCTGCGATCTCATCCGAGGTCAAGGGCGGCGTGGTCTGCCGATCTGGACGTGAGACGGAAGTCTAGTCAGTAGATGGTGCAGATGACGCGTGCTGTTGACCGGGACGTGAGAACGAGGTCTCTGATGTGTCTAGCGTGGGATCCGAGGTAGACGTAGAGATCCCGCTAGTAGGTTTGATAGGTCTAGCATTGAGTCTCAAGTTATCGGGTAGGGCACTGTCATCGACGTGTGCTGGTTTGAGACGATCAATGCTGACGATCTCGACGCGGCCGTGTCGATCAACCTTGAAGGTCTTTTCGTGACGAGAGATCACGTGAAAAGGGCCTTCGTAAGGCTGCTGCAAAGGTTTGCGTACCGAATCTACTCGTATGAAAACATGTGAACAGGTAGATAACTCTCGAGGGAGAGCGACCTGTCGATGTTGTATTCGAGTTGACACCGGAGACAGCGTTCCCATAAATGCAGACAGTCGATGGACGTAGTCTGATTTACCGAAATCATTACTGCTCCGTGGTGTGAAGAATTCCCCAGGCAGACGCAATGTCGTGCCGTATACAAGTTCAGCGGCGGAACATTGGATATCTGCCTTCAAACTCGTTCTGATGCCTAAGAGAACGAGCGGTAAGGTTTCGTACCAATTATCATTTTTGTGTGCACTGAGAGCACTTTTATGTTGTCGATGAAACCGTTCGACTAAACCATTCGATGCTGGATGGTAGGCGGTAGTGCGTATGCGATCAGCAGGTCATCAATATAGACGTGAACAAAATCCAAGTCTCGTACTATGCTATCGATAAACCTTTGAAAAGTTTGAGCAGCATTTCGTAATCCAAATGGCATTCGTAGGAACTCAAACAGACCGAACGGAGTCGTGATAGCAGTTTTCTCGATGTCTTCAAGAGCGACTGGGATCTGGTGATATGCTCGTACCAGATCGGTTTTAGAAAAGATAGTCGTGCCCTTGAGCGATGCCGTGATGTCGTGTATGTGGGGGATGGGGTAGTTATCAAAGCGCGTAACTACGTTTAATGCTCGGTAGTCGCCGCATGTTCTCCAACTAACCCCATCCTTTTTGCGCACCATATGTAATGGAGAGGCCCAAGGACTGTGAGAAGGACGAATAATACCAGCAGATAGTAAATTGTCAAACTCACGTTTAGCGAAGGCTAATTTGTCCGGTGCCAGTCGGCGTGGTCTTGCCGTGACTGGTGGTCCGCGGGTGACTATGTGGTGTACCACACGATTGGTCATCGATGAAATCTCCTCGAGTGGTTTAGTTATGCTGGGGAATTTCTCGAATAAGGCGTGGAATTTATCGTCACGCGAATAAAAAGTGCCGAGGATTCGGTACGCGTACATCGGAGTCTATTATATTAATACTATTCTTATCGTTATCCGTCATGTCAAATATATATATTAAAAATTAATATGAAAATATATGACAGACGTGGATAGATAAAACAATAGACTCACCGAATTGCCTTCTTTGAAAGATTTGACCGAGGTTGAGGCGTGTTCCAATATTTGGCTCACCAAATGGAGCGTGGTGTCGAGTTGAGCTGAACTATGAACACCGCCACCAGACTACTTGCCAATTAACCAATAAGATTCCGAAAGGCCAAAAATCAGAAGGCAGATGATTGTAGTAGTCGTATATATTTGTTGGCAATCTCGTGGTATCGAAAGAATACCGAGATCGTGCCAAAGGAGTACAAGTGTGGTTACTGAGCGTAACCGGATTCGTACAAGTTCGAAGTCAACGGGAGAGTAAGTATAATGGCTGTCATTAGCACAGTTAAACAAACGAGCACAGTAAAACAGTCACTGGTACAATTGGTTATAATAATAATTGTTTTCATCGATCCAATCGCGTTCTGTTGACAAAAGTAGGTCACTACACTTGTATGGCCAACCTGCTGATCTCGGTAGACAGACAGACAGACAACCATCCTTAATCTCAAGAGGAAGGTTGACGTCATACATCTTGACTTCTTAAAAACTTCTGATAGGGCCAACCATATATGTCTCATCAATAAGCTCAAACTACTAGGTATCAAATCACTTTCAATTATTTGGCTCACTTCATACCTAAATAATCGACATTTTAAGGTCAGGGTTAACTTCATTTTCTCTCAGGCTATGAAATGTCCTAGTTGGGTCTTACAGGATTCAGTAATAAGACCTGATTTTTTCCTGAGTTGTATAAACGACCTTCCTCAACAGGTATCGCCTGATTTGTTACTTTTCGCTGATGATGTGAAACGTTGGAGAGAAGTATGCAACCAAGAGGATAAACTGGCACTTCAGGAGGATCTGACTCGACTTCACAGTTATGCGGATGACAACGGGCTTACACTTCAAAGTGTAAAGTAGTCTGTTTGAGACATGTTGCAGACTACGAATACAACTTAGGTAACTCTCCTCTAGAGGTTTCCCAAGTTGTAAAAGATCTAGGAACGTTGGTACCCCACGTCATGAGATATTACGCTAACTGAGACAAAAATGCCTCCCGAGCAAATCTTGCACTGGTAACGTTGTGATGTACTTTCGGCCAGTCCGATGGAAAAACTTTCCACATAATCTTCAACAATTTTATGCATCCATATTCATAGTACGGAAACATAGTATTTCTTCCCTCGTTCTGAAAAATAAGGATATATTGGAATATATCCAACGGCGAGTCACAAAATCAGTTTGAAGACTCAAATTTGAGCCTTATGAAAGGCGGCTCAAATTAATAAACTTTTACTCATTAGAGTACAACCGTCTTCTATATGACCTTCTAATGACTTATAGCACTTCTGAGTATCCCCTTAAACACCTACTTAAGCTTAGTTCCAGCACAAACCTTAGAGGTAATATCCGGAAACTGGAGACACATCAAAGCAGAACGGACTGTGAATACGTCTACTTCTAAAGAGTAGTCAAATACTGGAATGGGTTACCGGCTGAGCTAGTCCGAGCGACTTCGCAGGAGACCTTTAAGAGAAAACTTGACATATTCTTAAAGATTGAGGATAGTATCTCACTATGATTTACCAATATTTTTTTTCTCTTTTGTTGTTATTGCACCTAGGTTTCTACCTAAAGTCGTCGGTGATCCACTGCCACTAGATACGGAAGCCCGTTAAGCGAAAGCTTCTTCTATTCCGTTTACAACTATTTGAACCAATTCTTTTCATGAGATCCAATAAGAGACAAGGAAAGTATGAAAAGATTATGTACAGTATGTATCGAAACGAAAACTTGACAAAAAATCACTTAAACTACAGTAGATTATATCCTTGCATTCACAAACACACCCTGATGAAAACATTTTCTAATGGAACCAGGTTATCTAAAAAGCCAAATAAAAAGCGGTTACCAGAGTACATTTATTACTAGATATGAAAACCATCATTCAAAGAATCATTAAGAACTCACTGCCAGTATAAACTTTGTCCGCATCCATCTTCCGGAGATTAGATTTCAGGAAAAATTGATGGGAAAATCAGGGTAATACTGAAAATACGTTTTACCTTAATTTAACTGATTCCTCCATAACATATTCAGCGTTCATCACACCTTTAGTATAAGACCAATATGCTTCTTTTAATGGCATGTACAGTTCTACTCTTGCCGTAGGATTTCTGAACGTTGCTCTAGAAACTTTTGGTCGGAAGGAGGCAAACTTTTCCCAAGTTTAATCGTCAGGTACTTGATAGATAGTGGAAATCAAGAAAAAGGATAGTCAACTGACTAGAAAAATTGCGAAACAAGTCTTACTGATTTCGCTCCATTTTGTAGAGACAGTTACAATCAAATACTTCCGACTGAACCTATGTATAAGGTTCCATCTGCGAGCATTTGAACCATTGCTGTCATTCAGGACGTTCAAAGTCTCAGGCAGGAAAGTATAGTGAAGTTTGGAAGCCCAGTAATTTTCTGTGTCCTAGCAGTACGAAATAATTTAAGTGCATTTGCTCAAACTTATCAAATCGCCTTGTCGACCATATCACTAATTTATGTTTTATCCCTTTTGCCTTTTCACTGGGTTACCCAGATTCTGGTCTAAGATCTCTTAAAACGATGCGACTATAATTTATGGATGACCTTTGAGGACTCGACTGACCTTGAGAGTGTCCACCTAATAACCCGGATGAAAGAGGTCTACAAACCTGTGTGAGGAGTTAGAATTATGATTTACAGTTGATAATTAAGGTTAGGAATTAGATTTCGGGTTTTCATCACGAACTGACATCAGCTATAATGCCAAAACTTTATTTATCCAAATGGATGAGTGAATTTCGCACCAAAAACAGATCTGTTATCTTATACGTGATTAGTTCATCCATAAATTATATTCTCGCCGTAATTTTCAGTTTGCTGCAGTATCATTGTATGGATGAGTAAGTTGTTTGGAAGGCCATAGCGGTGCACCGCGTATTTTTCACGTTTCATGACTAGCATGTGACATATGTCACATATGGTCACAATTTCTTACCTCGAGTGCTTATTGTCAGTCTTTATTGAAGTTGTTATTCACGGGCGTAGATCTGAATGTAACTAGTGCTTATAAAACTGTACTTATTTAGCAAAGTTTTCATCACAAAACTTGAAAATCTCGTCAGGACAGATTAATAACATTTTCAACCTTTGGATATTCATATTATTGTTGATTGCTATGATTTTAATTAGTTTTTCATGAAGTGTGAATTGTTATAAATGATTAGTAGTGTCGTAGTAAACATTCGCTATATTATTACGTAGATTCTCGTAAACGATTACTGTGGGATGGTATATGTTAGCATATTAAGTCCCATACGCAATATGAACTTAGTATACTCAGATTTCTTGTGTTCACGTATACTCTCCAAATCGGTAAAAGAACAGCAGTGAAATGAATTGCAGTCAATATTCTTACTCATGAATACCAGTTCATGTCAAAGTACATAGACTTGAATCGTTAAAAGGTTTTATGGTACTTAGGTTTGAGTTCAAATAAAATAACTTATATTAACTTTAAGCTAAGATTGCTCTAATAAATTAACCTATGTACGGCTTCATTTTCAACTTATTTGATTATTTCGGTGGTGCCATCCATAAAACCTTTCGCGAGTGAAGTCCAGGTAGTCGGCTAAACTACGGTCAGCGGTGGGATCCAGGATGCGTATTCCGTCCTTGTTTGAGACTCGTTAGCTGAATAAACCTGTACACCATTGACGTCCTCATTGGGACTAGAGCATTGTTATTTTCGCTCTAAGCACTGAGTTGTTAAGCCTAGGGCAACCATAATTGTGTTTCTTTGCATCTATGCCACCTCCGACTCGTTGGACAAGACTGTTCTGAACACTTTATTAACATCTTAAAAGCACTGTACACCAATACTACATTTAGTGATAGCGCATAACCACCTATCTGCTTTTCCATTGCAACCGTGAGTCTAGGCAGGGATACTCAGTCTCACCATTTATCTCCAACTGTTTCAGAACAAGATCGCGATTAAGTAGTTGACCAAAGTCACTATTCCTCTCCAAGTTTATTGTCAATAACACTCATAAAACAGCTCTGACAGAAGTAGGCAGTAGTGCTTTGCATCTGTTACCGGAAGAAAGAGTCATAAACCTTGGGCGCATGTTGTCTTATTGTGCGATGAGAATCATACTACTCAATCTGCACTTAATCAGTAGCCATTGTCTGTAGATATCCTATGTACCATGCATATTCGAAATGCAAGGCACCTCCGCCAGTCTGACATGAGCCTGTGCTCTCACTCACTCTTAATGTTGAGTTGTTGCAATCAGTAGAAATGTTCATGTATCTGGGTAGTTATCTGAGTGCCGGTGGTAACGTGAATCAATAGACTAATATACGTATAATAAGAGGCAGGGCAAGATATATCAATCTAGGCTATCTTTGGCGCTGTCGTGATGTTAGTCTGGGTGTGAAAGGTCGTGTACAATACGTTGGTTAGAGGATTCCTACTCTGCATTAGTGAAGCCTGACCTTCGGGTTGAGTATTTGGTGACTCTTCATGTGTCTGGTCATTGTTGTCTCTGAAGGATTGTTGAAGTCCAGTCACGACACCATATTAATCAATGGTGAGGTTCAGTCATGTGTGTCCGGATATATTTACGATAATTGAAATCATTTTACCATTTTGAAAGACTTGTTTTGGCGACTTGAACGTTTATTATGAATATCGTTCCGGAGAATTGCACATCATCCATTAGTTGCCGACACAAGGACTGGGTGGAAAAGGCAAAGTGGTCAGTTTACAATATAGTGCCGGAGTATGAAACAAAGTTGTGTAGGATTGTCGTTGGGGTCCTAGAGACGATGCAACTCAGTGGCTTGAGATGTTATCAGAGAAGGCTCACAACAAAAGTTACTGAAGATCCTACAGTAGTTTTTTTAATTTCTGAAAAAGAAGGAAATTTAACTTCAGTGTCTATCCTTTTATGTTCACGTAGTTTTTCTGGTTGCACAACTGATCTTTTTATTCCTTCACAATATTAACTCTTCATTTCGTACTATTTTAATGCCCGGTTGTCCGAAATTTTATGTGAAATGAGTAAACAATATAAATGAAACATTTCCCTCGACCTTCAAATAATCAAATGAAGTGAAAAGCTAAAATGATGGATATGGTCATGAAATAAGGGGGGAGTTAAAGATATTTTGTCGAATGGTCCTAGGTCTATAATAGTCACGTTGAGTGATTCGTCTGGTCTCAAATTTCTGTCTTGTCTAGACGGTCTAAGATATCTACGGGTACGGCCGAGAGTGGGGAGAGTCCGCTCTCCCTCTCGAAATGCTCTCACATGGCCATGCGTATATAGCCTCTGCCAGGGAAGTCCTACTCACTGCCTTCACGTGGCAGGGGTGTTGTTTACAAAAATGAGAGGACGAAAAGCGAATGTCTGGCGCTTTAACCGGACCCCAAACCAATGGTGCACATGGGCTCCAGTATCCTGTGGGAACAAATGGCGTATGAACCAATCGTTGGTCACCGGCTACCATGGGACTGCATCTCCTTACGATGCTCCACTGCCTTGTGGGTCAGACGTTCAGGTCAAAGGCTCGGGGTGTGGCCCCCTAAGAAAACCACGTGCTTCGGTTTGGGCACCCGAGCAGTATCACAGCCCTCACACTTATCAATTGAGATTTATGTGGCGCATATGTATTTGGTGCCTCCCTGTACCTATACTTATGTGTTAAAATAAATAAATAAATAACGGGTTTGGATTTAAAAAAACCTTCCTGTAAGATTATCTGAAAATATATGTACCATTCGAAATAACCATCATACACAAGAGCTGATATGAAAATACACAGGTTCAGCAAAGAATTCGAAAAGATTTGATATTGACATTTGTTATATTTTTAATACTAAAACAACTTTTCAAGAAAGAACGTTTGACAGATTTTGTAGTGTTAGATGAAGATTTGGATTATCAGGTCACACATTTAGACAGAGAGGATAGTGGTTCGGGTAGTCAGTGGGCTATAGTTCGTCGCAACACAGATGACGGTGACTGTCTCATGCAGATAAGCACAAATAACAGCATCCTTGTCAAAGGTCAAACGAACTCACTTGCGAAGTAAAAACTGGACTTATTTTTTATGTGTAAGGTGTATTAGTATTACCTGACTAGCCATACTAAATTTGAGATTATCTGTTTCCGGTCCGTAACCCAGTAGTTATTTCTTTCTTTTAAAAGTATTATCCTCACTCTGTTTTACATTGTTGTGCTAATATTTACTGTTACGGAAAAAAAGTCACATGATTCTGCTCAGCTTTTCTATTGATCACTTTGCATATATGTGTATTGAGTTTGTACTCAATTTTTCTGATATATTTTTCTACTTAGCCCAACTATGTAATTTGCTGTACATTAAGGGATTAAATTGGATTTAAATAGTATGCCTATTAAACGATCATCTGGACGTTTAGGACCTATTAGTGGTGGTGTTAATAACAATACACGAAGGTAAGAGTACCAATCGTTATTCCTGTTATCCCTTTACTGATGTATCTTATTATAGAACATGCGAGCAGATGGTATCGTCAGTACCATTAGTGAAGCACTCTACATTTCCTGTTGTGCCAAAATTATCCCGTATATCATTTCTTTCTCTCAGTCTGATGCTGTGCTTAACATCGACATTAACTCAGCATATGTATCTGTATAGGACTGTGTGGTGGTTACCGAATTCGTCAATCGAATACCCTGTAGTAAGTTAAAAATGCATAAATAAACTTAAAGTTGTGAAAGTTCTCATTCTAGTATTCAGTAAAACGACGAATATAGTAATGAAATATTTATTTTCTATTAGTTTGTCATCATGGCTCTACACTAGTATATGTTTAACAATAAAATATATCGGTCAGTTGGTGGTGTTAGATAATATTACAAATTCAATTGTTTATGAAAATAGTTGCAAATGATTAGAAAAAGCAATTGGAAGATGGGGTTATTAGGTGACAAATATTCGAGGGCATTAATAAGTCAATGAATGAATTAGGATATAGGGTTTAAGGATTGATAACAGTAAAATCGATAGATTCCTCGATAAGAAGTCCAACATAAGTAACAAATACATAGTAAAGAATTTTAATATTCAGTTTTAGGGTTGATAACAATAGGCTTGCTATTCTTTTATTTGGCCTATGTCGATAGCTACACAAACTTTTCAGTACAGAGGTTGGTTTTCTGGAGGTGGATTGTGATAGCTTCAGGTATATACAAAAGACGAACCTGTAAGCCATGTGGTAAATTTAATGGAATAAAGTGGATAACTTGAAAGGCTTTATTCGCGTCAACGTTACATTCTGTGTCAACTGAGTGAGCGAATTTGTAACTTTTATTCACCTCTAACTGTTTGCTCAACCACACCAGATGATATATGATACTTTGACGGACGTTGCATATTGTACACTGTCATCATGAATTAACATCATTTGTAAAAAGCGTATTTTCTTAGTTCATAGCTACGTACACCTTTATTTCTGTACGAGACCAGATACTATACCTTCAGTTCCAGCAGCGAGTACTTCATCACTCATCCATTCCATAAGAGCTCAATATTTTACATTCTCCTCCAATCAATTGATAATATAGAATGGTCATCGCTAAGGTCTGTAAAACTAAAACTAAACACATTCAATAATTTTTTTTGATTTTTAATATTCCTAAATCAGATGTCATTTCAAAATTAAACTTTTTACGTAGTTCAACCTGAAGGTTAACAATATTCTTTTACAATTTGTAGGAATTTGACTCAATCGACTATTATGTTACGGCCCATATCATCTTTATGCTGTGTACTCCGTATATCTACTTAATAGTGCTTAAGGTATGTTCTTTTCCGCTTCACTGAAGTAATGCTTATCTAGGATTATATTCAATTTTATATATGACTGAGTGTTTTAATAATTAAATTCATGAGTCAATTGAATCTAGACTACCATGGAAAACCTGGAAGCACTTGATGGCTGTTTCATCCTATTATGGGGCTCCTCAGCAGTGGTCTAGCTTCAATTGACTCACGAATCCAATTATTAAATTAATACAATGTCCACAAAACCCCTTTCTGACTGATTGTTTGTTTATCATCTAATTTAAATGATGCGTTTGAGCCACCTGTTTTTCAAATCTACAAATCTTTCAACTAACCATCCTGTTTTAGAATCCTTTGGACTGAATAATTACGAATGCTAAATGTATGTACTCGTCTGCTATTATAAGAAACACTAAAATTATTAGTATACTGTAGAACTCAAACGGAAACATAGCAGTTGTTGACATATGAGAGACGAATTTATTGGAATTTATGTACTACTACTTCCTAATTAAACTAGTTTTTAGCAAGTGCTGTTTATATCGTTGCTGTCCAACTCTGATTCCCGACTCTATGTGTTCTTCAGTTTGCCCCTTTTTCTTCTTACTTGAGGATTTCAAAATACGACCTGTCCTGTGATGCAGTTCAACAGTTTACTTAATGTGTATTCAATTCACTTCCAGCAACTTGTCCTGATTTGTTCTCTGCCACAGTAGGTTATTGCTGAAGATCTCCGGACAGTGAATCTGGAGTATCTTGTCCATACAGCTGTTTATAAATACCTGTACTATTTCGGTGATGATTGTGGTAGTTTTCCAAGTCTCAGCAACGTACAATAGAACGGTCTTAACGCTACTATTGAAAATCCTGATTTTGAATCCGAGTGATTATTCCTTTGAGTTCCAAATGTCACTGAATTGTAGAAATGCTACAATTGCTTTACCGATTCATACCTTGACACCGGTTCCAAATCCACCGTTTTTATGTACAAAAGGCTCTCACCTCGTCGAGAGTTTCTCCACTATGTGTGATTTGTTTAGTGCTCGATGTACTGTACTTCAGGATCACGCTTCTCCCGCTGTAAATGCTCATGACTATTTTGGAGGAAGCTGCAGCTACATATGTCAGTCAGTCAGCTGCAACGTAGGACCAGGCACATATATGCATCGGTCCAAGTTGCCATACCGCATTAGCACAGCAAGATGAACACCGGATTCATAGAAGTAGTCACATCAAAGGTAGTAGTATGTAGAAGAAAGATTGCATGTAAGGAAATAGCACAGGAAGAAAGAACTAGTTGGTAGAAAGGAAGATATGAAGTGATTTTAATCTCTTAGTTTGAAGGAAGACAAAGAGTGTATACACCGACGCCATTGTGATCGATTCTGAGCCATGTCACCAAGAGTCTCCAACTATTGGTTACGATAGTCATGCGGACCCCAACCAGGATGTCTCCATCTACCAACATGACTCAAACCAGAAGTTAGTGACTTCAAGCACTGATGCCACGTTTTGGTTTGGCCGCCCCTAACTTTCTTCCAATTATCCCTAACACCGGTTAGCACTGCGCGTCGTGGTAATCGGTGTTCAGGCATACGCAACACGTGACCCAACCATCTCAGTCGATGAAGATTTACAACCTCATCTACTGATTTACCATCATTCCCCAATACCCTGCGTCTAACCTCACTATTACTTATCCGGTGATCCCAGCAGATACCCGCAATATTTCTAAGTCATCTGCGGTCAAAAACTAGTAACTTACCAGTATCTTCTACTCTTAAAAGCCATGTTTCGCAGCCGTATAGTAGAACGGAACGAACTGCCGCGCAGTATACTCGTCCCTTGATTGATAGACGGATATCTCGCATGTATTACGGCTAAGACGACCTCAAACTCCGAATCATCCAACTGTGTCCAAGTTGCCTACCTACCTATCCATCTCCTCGTAAACCTCGGTGATTGGTTCACCTTGTTTGCTCCTGACTGTCCTTCCGGGTCTACTATATCTCCACGCCAGCTTATTGGTTGAATCATGAAGTTATTTCATTTTCATTCTCTTGCAGCTTTTTCTGCTGAAGTTGCCGGGTCTTCCGCTTATTTCCAGTTGTCGCCTCTAATGGTCTTCACTCATTTGTTTGCTTATTCTGTGTATATTCAACGTGTGTCTTGGCTTTCTCTGTTCTGGTTCGGTTGTTGTTGACTTCCGTCGTCTTGTTTTCCATTTCTTGAATTTCACCTGAGCTGTCAACGAAGATCCGTTGTTAATGATGGTGTTTGTTGGAACCCAAAACCCCTTGACATGCTGAAGTTATTACTTTTTTAATCTCTTTCCAGTTGCTCTCTCTCCCCCTAACCACCCAGGCAGTATCCTTTGTTTCTGAGAGTGAATTTAGTCCTTAACTGTTTATTATTGAAGAAAAATTACTTTCAGTTACTGTTCAGTGCATCTGTTAACAAACTTAAAAATATACAAAAGTTGTAGAAAACATTGTTCTATCGTAATGCTTGTATAAACATGGCTGAATAATCCTAGTAAAGACGTGTCTGATTATAACATCAGCCGTATCTTGAGGTTGTATTTCAACCACCGTTGATTTTATGCAGTTAATAAACAAAGCTTGGTGATAGTTGCCTCCTATCACTGTGTACAAATCCAAATTATCGGACTTGGCGATCGTGTCAAAACATTCATTGATGGAGTTTTATCAGCACTATAACTTAGATAAACCAAAATTAGTTCCTGTCCAATGTATTAATGCACCTAATATAGTTCTACGTGTAGTTAGTACCGACTTGCTTAGGCCACTAGTGAGGCCTCGGACTAAGAGATTAAGTTGAACAGGTTCATAATGAGTGCTAACAACTCGTTGTTTTTACCCCTGATCCCGTTTCTGTACATATACAAACACAATAAAATATTTTTTTTCTTAAAAAAAGCTTCTTCCTTCGTTTATAATGACATCACTGATAATGCGTTCAGTCCTGGGTTTACTCATTTTTACTTTCTGGGGCTACATCATGATCTGGATTTTAAATAGAATAGAATATTCCGGGACAACAATCTTGTATCACCTATCCGGAATAGTGTTGCTGGCGTATTTGTAAGTTTTGATTCTATTTAAGTCTCATATTTATTACTGATAATTTATCTGTTAAGGTTTTACACTCTGAATATATGGTTGCATAGACTTGGTATTTTTCAGTTTGACAGATTCTCCTCACTATGACTTACTAAATGTGCGTAGCAGGTCTTATTTCTTGAGTGTAATACACATCTAGCAAGTCAGGATGTAATTTGCTATGTCGTGTTTAAAAAATGTTGATACATAAATTTGGATAATTAGAACTGTATAAATCACTCATCAAATAAATTAAAGCCTGGTACAGATGTGTATTGGCCCAAGTTGCCATAACACGTTAGCACGGAGAGATGAAAGTAACAAGACAAATTGTAAAAGGGATCAAAATAATGTAGTACCAATGATAATGAGCAGGACTGAATGTGGTTAGATGTGACGAATTCAAAATGAAGTATTAAGCTATACTAGAAATGAAGATCGAGATAAAGATATAGAGTGGAATCATATGCTCCATGTCCTCCAAAGTCCCGAACAGTTAATCACGATAATCAACGTATCGTAAATATGTAGTTTGCACTTTCGACGTAGGCTAGATGTTTGTCTGCCAACCAAATGACAAGTTCATTGTGCAGCATTTCGCTCTGTCCCACCTTGTGCTTGTGGAACATGACCAGTAAGAGTAGAGGATATTCGTATGTTACTAGTATTCGAAGCATTGTTCGTGTATTTTTGAATCACTGATTAAGCAATATCTGGATTAGGAATGGTTTTATTTATTTATTTAAACACATAAAAAATGGTAATGGAAGGCACCAAATGGATATGCGCCACATAAATCATTCGATTTGTGTGAGTGCTGGGATACTTTCCGGGTGCCCAAAGCAAAGCAGGTGGTCTTCTTAGGGAGCCACACCCGATGCCTTCGACCTAAAGGTCTGAACCACAAGTCAGTGAAGCAGTGTCAGGAGATGCAGTCCCATGGTAGCCAGTGACCAACGATTGGTTCATACTCCATATGTTCCTTCAGGATACTGGATCCCATGTGCACCATTGGTTTGAAATGAGGGTTGTCCAACTCCGCTATGTAAATCCTCCGTACCGACTAAACTAGTTGAAACGCTGGACATTTGCCTTTCATCCTCTCTATTTCGTAAACAGCGGTAATGACGCGAGAAGGTAGTGAGTTGGACTTTCCTGTCAGTGGTTGTATGGGCGTGGCCGTGTCAGAACATTTCGAGAGGGAGAGCTAACTCTCCCCACTCTCGGCCATACCAGAGCATTCGGGGGCTAGGAATAGGATGTGTAACGCATGCCCAGCCACCGCTCATCCAAACGGGAACGTTGTCTGGTGTAGGAGTAAGCTAAAAGAAAGCTAGAGGTGGTCGAACCAAAACATGGCACCAGTTTACGAAGTCATTGACAAGTGGACTGAACCGTGTTAACACACGTAGACCACCTGGTTGGTGTCCGAGTGATTGTTGTAACCAGTGGTTAGAGATTTTGGATGACATGGCTCAAAACCGTTTACAATGGCACGGGTGCATCCATTTTTTGTCTTTCCCCAAACTCTAGGCTTCCGAATTCCTCATAATTTTCTCACTTTACTAATTTATGTTTTCTCGAGTTGTATTTTTGAAGTCTAGTCTTTTTTATTACCACTGATACTGTTATTACCTCCACTATTTATAAATTTGCCCTAACAATTTAATATCTCTGTGTTAATGGAGTGTGACCGCTTAAACCGATGAACATACATATCAGGTTCTACGTTAAGACTGACTGATTGACTCAGTCTGCATGTCATAACACAACCCATTCCAACAGTCAGTGGTTCCATGAACTGATGACAAGTTTGATCTGACTGCCCCTAACTCTATTCAAACTATTCCTAACCCAGCAGAGAACTCAGCGCCTAACCTTAGTAGTGCTCATTCGATGCTCCCAACATACGCGACTAATGCTTAGAAAATACATATGCTCCTTTATATTCTTATAGTTTCATTTTATTTGCGTGGCCCTTGTTATGGTGTTTATTAGTGCCAGTAGTACCATTCTAGACGTAAATGTTACTCAGTTTTCGACTAGTTGGCAACACGACATATCACTAATTCAAAATTTCTTTTTTATGTATTTCTTTATCCAGACATTTGAAATTATTTGTAGTCAGAATTACTTATGTATAATTACATATTAATCATTTATCCTAATTATTATTTTATCATTTATTTTAGTCCCATACTGACTCTCCTAGTTTACCATTCTCGTTATTTGGAGAAAGTCGTTTGTCAAGACAGTCGTCGTCATCATCCAAATGGTACTGATAGTGGTAATATTAATTACTGGAGCGACAGTAGTTCAGGAGTTGTATACCGACCATCTGTTTTCAGTTTAAAAAATTGTCTACAGGTATGTACAGATTATCAGTTTGTGTCCTTTTTATATATTCTTTTGTGTTATTATTATCAATAATTTCATTCTGACCTGTCATTATGGGTTGTAGAATAGCAGCGTAACAAATGATTTATTCGTTCTTTTTTCCTCCTTTAAATACATCTTACTTTAAATTATCATCAACTAGGATAGTTTGAACATGTGTGACATGCTGACCGAAAATACTTATTGGTAATCATGTTGAAAGTGTGAAACTTTTTGATAATATAGTATTGTGTCTGGGTCAAAGTGTAACCTGATCGGTAAGTTTTCAAATACTAATGATAGTGATGTGGCTCAGGGATGAGTTCCAACACCTCTTTATATCTTCAAAACTACCCCATTCACTTTGAAACGACAATGTGCAATATGAACCTGTAAATAATAAACAGGGTTTTTTAAAGTGCATAATTCGTAGTATATGTAACCATCGAACCCGATTGTTTTAAATCCTATATTAGATGTGGTTACGGTAATCACTTCATCTGTTTCTCTTCACATCTTTGATTAACGATGTATCAAGTAATGGTATGATATATATCGGATATTGTTACTACGTATCAACCTACAGTCTATTCGATACCTTTTAGTTTATAGAACAAGTGGTTTAGAATAATCAGAAGGAAGAAAGACCTTTCAACAAACTAGATGGATTTCTGCAGTATCCCATCAAGCTTCGTCACCCAGTACTGAAATTATACTTTTTACTTCATGATAGCGATCCTTTCGTTAAAATAATTGTTCTGCTTTATGAAATACATTCAGCGTTATAATAGCTATGCTCAGAATGGTACATGTTAAATAATCCATTCAAAGCAAACGTATTAACGATAATTACTCGCACAATTTCGGGATGCTCGTGTCCGTAGTTTTTATCAAATACAACCAATTAATTGTGTTGATATACCTATAAAAATATGGATAAATGAAACAAAGTGAAGTAGAAATTTACATAAAAATTAATTGGCGGCTGCATATCTTTTCGTGTTTACCCTTTAGACTAACTTGTTCAAACTGTTTTAGTCTGTCAGTCAGCTGTTTCAGTAGGAACACTCAGTTCTACTGGTTTCATTATTTAGGAATTGTCGGTCGGATGTTGTTACTAGTATATTTATGATGATCTAAGGCTGTGGCCATACTGATAATAAGAACGAGGGATTCGATGAAAATAAGGATTTCTCTAAAACACTGATTCACAGACACCTTAATTATCATTGTTTAATAATTCATCCCGTTTCTTATTTTGTAGAGTCAACTTCGTACATCAGTTGTATTGACTGTTTTTCTGATTCAACAAAAAGCTTGTATTAACATTAAACAAACTAATATTAACATATACTTTTTGATAGTATGTAAAGAACTAGACGATTCAAGGTTAAAATATGAGACTATATCTGTAATTATAATCTGCTTTGTCATGAGATTCGGTCATCGTCGCACTTTCCTAACATTCAACCAGTTTTACTTTATGTGAGACAGGTCGGATGGGAACATTTTCGCTCTTTGCTAGTGAAGCCCGGTCTTCGATTTGAAAATCTCTGGTGACTGTATATCTGATCATTGTTGTTTCTGAAAGACTGTTGACGTCCAATGACAACACCATGTTAACCAATGGTGAGGTTCAGCGATGTTTGTTTGGACACATTTACGACAATTGAAATCATCTTACCATCTTGAAAGACTGGTGTTGTTATGATAGGCGGTGTCCGAAATCTGATACTGATACATGATGTACTACACGCTAACCCGCCACCTGACTACTTGAGCGAGAACTCAAGAGTGAACGGTGGGCTACAGAATAAAATGCACAAATACTCAATTATATATGAACATCTCCAGTCCCTAGGAAATAAATCCATCTCTTATCCAATGACATCTACTTGTCCCGCAGATTCCCACCAATTGATGTTATTCGGCTACTTCTGATCAGCTCGCCCTATCAGGTGGCTTATATGGGCGACTTTTATGTGTATTACGAGTCTCATCCCGGTAACCTCCACTCAATTGTGTCAGTATTTATGCATTAAATAATATATACAGTTAAAATAGTCCGTTTGGTGTAATGTAAACAATACGCTTCACCAAGTAAATGATCCAATTACTTCATATCTCACTGATGCGTGCATTTGAATTACCATACAGTCATGGGGAGTACCAAGTACTGTTTCGTTTCTTAGGTATACCAAGTGAAATATTCTTAATAAAAACAAAGTGAATCTGTCTTCATTATGAATCAGTTTGGGTCATTTCGCTGTAGAACTCAAGGTACGACTTCAGAATCAGTGATTTTTCACTGCACTTTCCGTTTAGTTATTTCACTACTTTAGTCGGACGGATAGTCGCTTTTTTAGCTTCTTGTTTGCCTTATTTTACGACTGTATAAAGGGATAAAGCGCCCACTGCACCTCAATAAACTATGGAACGTTAGTCGAGTTTCTTTTTTGGCCTACAAGAAATAATAAAACTGACTAATTAAAGAGCCGATTCTCACTACAACTTTATTATCTATAGTTAAAGTGGGATATGGTACAGACTTGTTTAGAAGTGATTAATAAATTCGCTTATGCAGCGTAGAATAAAGCAATGAAGAGTTGTTCAGCGCCCAATGAATGATCTTTTCCATCTGTTTATCTATTCAGGGAAAGTGATTATGTTTAAGCTTTTAGAAATTATAACGTCTCATTAAAGTAAATTAGTATACTCTCCAAAGTCTGTTTTGTAGTTATCATTAAAGTCAGTCAGTGAAAACGTAGAACTTCAAAGTCTCTAACCATCGGTTGCTATCGCCTCGAGGATACTAACCAGGTAGTCTACACCTACCAACATGACTCAGTTCACTTGTCAGTGACTTCATGGATTTGTGCCATGTTTTGGTCTGGCCGCCCGTAGTTTTCTTCCAACCTACTCCTACACCATGAAACATCGCACGTCGGGTCAGTCGGTGGTTGGGCATACGTAACACGTGTTCCAGTCATCTCAGCTGATGAAGTTTCACTACTTCATAAGAAGATAAGAATTTTTCATTTATTTGATTATAGATTTCCTCATAGTAACGCTTATAAGTTATATTTGGATGTGTAAAGTTAACTGATAAACATATTTCAAGATACTTGAGACATGAATCGATTAAATGTAATCCCAGTGACGGATAAAAACAAGAATAGTACCTGTGATGTGTGCTACTTATATTCACATAAGTAGTATACAACGATGGTCAGACATAGAATGTATCAATAAAGAAAGAATGGGAACGCAACGCAATTGGTATGGAAATGCATGAACAATGGACTGATATTTGCAAAATAAATAGTCAAGCTTGAGACGATGGATTGATATTTTGCAAATTAACTATTTACTAAAAGGTTCTCAGATTTTAGTGAGATATTCTGTAATTTCGTGTTTGAATATATTCGATTGTCCCCACTCGCGTTCTTGTTCATTACAATACCAAGAAAACCTCTAAACTGTCAGACTGATCTACAACATATGCTACTTAACTTATCAAACGATATGATTATCATAGTCATAACTATGAAGATAACAGGAACTAATGGTTAACAAACTCTATTTAATAAAGATTGAAATCAATTGGCTCAGTGGTCCAGAGGTTAAGCGTCCGCGCGCGAGACTGAAGGCCCTGGACTCTAATCCCGCGAGCGGGATCGTGGATGCGCACTGTTGAGTAGTCCCACAATAGGACGAAACGGCCATTCAGTGCTTCCAGGTTTCCCATGGTGGTCTAACATCAGTCGGTTCATGATCTGAATCAGAAATATATATGGCGATCAAATATTAACTGGGTAATGAAAGGTTTAAACATAACTGTATTCTTCATTATGTTCCAATTCTCAAAGTCTGTTGAGTTCTCTTCTTTTCATCTTCAGTTTTTCATATAGATAATTGTTTAACAGATATAAGATATTATGAATTGCACAATTTTTCGATGGTGATTCTTAACTTCGCATTGAAACGTTTTCTAATTATTATTTAAGTATAATTAGACCTCTGGAAATAATTTTTGTTGCTTTCCATAAGTTATTCTCTTCTTGTGAATCTGACTAATACAGTTGTTTACATCATCCTGTTGGCGATGTCTCACAATCATTACGGACTGGCCATGTTTACCTTCCGAGAACATGTTTTTTCCAATTCCATATATATTTATTCCTTCAAGACAACTCCATACATCAACTGATCATCCATCATTTCAAACCATCTATACAAGTGACGTAGATTCAAATAATTATTTAATGAATCATCAGTGTTTAGGTGCAACACCTGAACAAATACGTGAAGAAGTTGAACTGTATAGACGTGATTTTAATGCAAGGTTAATGGATATTTTAATTGGTACCTTACATGCAGTTTATTATGGATGCTTTCTACCAATGATATTTGTTCAGGTATGCACATTTCAAACAAAAATATCATTTCTTGAAAATTCTATTTCTCTATATGTCGTAACTCATAAAAGACATTTCACAAGTGCCTAGTCATAACTTCTAGCATCATAGTTATGTAAGTTCGATGTTTTATAACCCAACAAACTCCGTAATATCCCTAAGGGTGTCACACTTTATCACAATCTACTCAAACTTTTACCTTACTGTGCTTCGTTTTATCTGCTACATTTTTGTTATCACTCATACTTACTCCAGTTGCAAGAACTTCTCGATCGCAAACACTAAGTCCTGTCAATCTTATAACAGTGCTCTTCATTTTGTTTGCTCAAATACATCCCATACTAACAAACACTGATTGTCATTTATTTGGTGCAATATAACAATATCGCCTGTACCCCCAAATCAAAACGTCTATTTGATTAGCAGATTAATACCATCATTTCGGTTTGAATTTTGCTTTGTTTCCTTAATTTTATTGATTTCAAAGTTAGGGGAATGACTAGATAAGACAATGCGGTTCTTAATCTTACTACTTATGGGGAACAGTACAGAGAAGTGGTTATATTCCCTTACTCCTCCTTGGGCTTATTTTTTAAGAGCTTTTGAGATGCTAATAGATTTCACACATACACTTGTCTGTCGAATTATTTATATGTATAGCTTTATCTAACTGATGAAATGCAGTTTTATTTGTCAAGATACAAATTAGTCGTTAACCTACAGTGCATGAAAACATAATAAATACATACATAACTAGAATAGAACCCTATTAGTTTCTAAAGCCAGACTTACAAGTTTGTAAAGACCAGTTTCAAACGCTGATTTCAAATTTGGGTAGTGTTTATCTCCAACAAACTTATGTATTATTCCGGGTTGGTAGATTATTATTACTATTGTTATCTGTTATATTACAGAATGAACATTTATATATTGATTATTGGTGGTGTCTTCAACATTGTTTCTTAACTGGTTTAGTAGTCTTTCTGTTACGTTGGCATTATTTTCTACCCTGTGATTACATCGATTTACTACATCGAATTTCTATGCATCTGGGTAGTTGGGAGAATTCGCTCACACGAAGTGGATATATAAACGCAACATCGTGGTCATCGTCTACCGTAAGCTCTTTTTTTTATGTTGATAAACGATTTGCTTATTTTCTCACATTTTCAAATATACAAATCGTTGCTAAGTTAGTTTCATAGTAATTGTGGTATGCAAATGTACATCACTCTAAAAATGTAGGAAAACATAACAATCCATTTCTGTATTGGTTGTTTCGATCTTCCCATTGATCACTTTTATTGGCATATGTGCATCCTGTGCAGATTGCCTTGATATTACCTTGAATCAAAAGCATTATATAAGCAGAGATGGATGGTGGCCAGCAGTAGAATCCAGGACTCGCGTTTCGTCCTATTTGGGACTCGTCAGCTGGGTGTACCTGCATTCCAGAGTTGATGCTCACTCTGTTACTCGAACCCAGTAGTGTTCGCAATAGCGTTTGAAGTGATCTTACTAATGATCAAGTCGAAAATTTGATTCGTTATGTGGACAACGTATTCGTTATCATCAAAAAGGACGAGCTGGAAATTACTTACTGTTTGATTAGCAATGTCTTCGATGACATACAATGCATAATCGAAAAGGAGTTAAATAATAGATTATCATTCCTGGTTTTATTGATCATCAGGGCCGACAATGGGAAACTGGAGACTCAAGTATACCCACACAGATCTAATTCTAAACTACTTTAACCATAACCCAAGAACTCACAAAATTAATTGCGTGAAAGAGCGAAAACACACTGTGACCCACAGCTCAGAGAAACGAAGAAAATTATCTAGTGACTGTTTCAAAATAACAGTTATCCACGCAGCTACATCAAGCGATGTCAATACAACTCATCAACAGAAACAAACTCAAATATAGAAATTAACAAATGGACCATCCTACCATGGATAAAATAAATGTCGGAAATTATAGTAATATTACTAAATCAGTCCAGAAAATGTGTAGCACATAAACTAACGAAACCGCTTCAATAAATCTTACATAAACCAAAGGATGAAATGACAAAAGAAAATCTGAACATCATCTACAAAATAAACTGTTCCCATTGAGAGAATCTTCTTCGTGCTTCCGGATTCAAGGCTTCCCCAACTTTGAGTGCACATGGTGTACAGGGTGATGATTTTTGTTGTTTATTACAAATTGTTTCAGAAGTACATCAACTTTTCTAGCGACATGATATTGATCTGTTTGAACATGGATTATTCCATAGTTCTCTTGCATTATAAATTGTCACTATATATTTTTGCTTACTAACAAAATTTATAAGTAGTACAATTTTGTTAACTCGAATTTTCCCCATTGGCTCATGTATTTCTAGTTGACTTCAAGCCACAAAATGAGTTGATTTTGCGTACTCATTATTACTCCTTTTCCCATATTACTTTTCTTTTATTTCCTGTCGTGCTTTCTTCCCCTTTTTTATCATTATCGCACGATTTCTGATTCCTGTTGACTGCTAGTGAGCACTGGTGTTTACTTTCATTTGTGCAAATATATATGATAGATTCTCTTACCAAAAGTACTTAGATGGAGATAATATTTTTTCCTCAGCGATTATTGGTACCAACTACACGTAGAACTAGATCAGGTGCATTAATACATTGGACAGGAACTAATTTTGGTTTATCTAAGTTATAGTGCTGATAAAACTCCATCAATGAATGTTTTGACACGATCGCCAAGTCCGATAATTTGGATTTGTACACAGTGATAGGAGGCAACTATCACCAAGCTTTGTTTATTAACTGCATAAAATCAACGGTGGTTGAAATACAACCTCAAGATACGGCTGATGTTATAATCAGACACGTCTTTACTAGGATTATTCAGCCATGTTTATACAAGCATTACGATAGAACAATGTTTTCTACAACTTTTGTATAGTTTTAAGTTTGTTAACAGATGCACTGAACAGTAACTGAAAGTAATTTTTCTTCAATAATAAACAGTTAAGGACTAAATTCACTCTCAGAAACAAAGGATACTGCCTGGGTGGTTAGGGGGAGAGAGAGCAACTGGAAAGAGATTAAAAAAGTAATAACTTCAGCATGTCAAGGGGTTTTGGGTTCCAACAAACACCATCATTAACAACGGATCTTCGTTGACAGCTCAGGTGAAATTCAAGAAATGGAAAACAAGACGACGGAAGTCAACAACAACCGAACCAGAACAGAGAAAGCCAAGACACACGTTGAATATACACAGAATAAGCAAACAAATGAGTGAAGACCATTAGAGGCGACAACTGGAAATAAGCGGAAGACCCGGCAACTTCAGCAGAAAAAGCTGCAAGAGAATGAAAATGAAATAACTTCATGATTCAACCAATAAGCTGGCGTGGAGATATAGTAGACCCGGAAGGACAGTCAGGAGCAAACAAGGTGAACCAATCACCGAGGTTTACGAGGAGATGGATAGGTAGGTAGGCAACTTGGACACAGTTGGATGATTCGGAGTTTGAGGTCGTCTTAGCCGTAATACATGCGAGATATCCGTCTATCAATCAAGGGACGAGTATACTGCGCGGCAGTTCGTTCCGTTCTACTATACGGCTGCGAAACATGGCTTTTAAGAGTAGAAGATACTGGTAAGTTACTAGTTTTTGACCGCAGATGACTTAGAAATATTGCGGGTATCTGCTGGGATCACCGGATAAGTAATAGTGAGGTTAGACGCAGGGTATTGGGGAATGATGGTAAATCAGTAGATGAGGTTGTAAATCTTCATCGACTGAGATGGTTGGGTCACGTGTTGCGTATGCCTGAACACCGATTACCACGACGCGCAGTGCTAACCGGTGTTAGGGATAATTGGAAGAAAGTTAGGGGCGGCCAAACCAAAACGTGGCATCAGTGCTTGAAGTCACTAACTTCTGGTTTGAGTCATGTTGGTAGATGGAGACATCCTGGTTGGGGTCCGCATGACTATCGTAACCAATAGTTGGAGACTCTTGGTGACATGGCTCAGAATCGATCACAATGGCGTCGGTGTATACACTCTTTGTCTTCCTTCAAACTAAGAGATTAAAATCACTTCATATCTTCCTTTCTACCAACTAGTTCTTTCTTCCTGTGCTATTTCCTTACATGCAATCTTTCTTCTACATACTACTACCTTTGATGTGACTACTTCTATGAATCCGGTGTTCATCTTGTTGTGCTAATGCGGTATGGCAACTTGGACCGATGCATATATGTGCCTGGTCCTACGTTGCAGCTGACTGACTGACATATGTAGCTGCAGCTTCCTCCAAAATAGTCATGAGCATTTACAGCGGGAGAAGCGTGATCCTGAAGTACAGTACATCGAGCACTAAACAAATCACACATAGTGGAGAAACTCTCGACGAGGTGAGAGCCTTTTGTACATAAAAACGGTGGATTTGGAACCGGTGTCAAGGTATGAATCGGTAAAGCAATTGTAGCATTTCTACAATTCAGTGACATTTGGAACTCAAAGGAATAATCACTCGGATTCAAAATCAGGATTTTCAATAGTAGCGTTAAGACCGTTCTATTGTACGTTGCTGAGACTTGGAAAACTACCACAATCATCACCGAAATAGTACAGGTATTTATAAACAGCTGTATGGACAAGATACTCCAGATTCATTGTCCGGAGATCGTCATCAGTAACCTATTGTGATAAAAACTACTAGTATAATCATAGCCTTGTGTATATGATGTCTATTTTAAGATCATGAACATTACTTACAGACAACTATAAAGAGTAGCTGTTGATTGAATTGTTTTGAGATCTGTAGTCAGTAACATAACTCAAAACGTTTGACAGTCTTATTTTAGTCATCAATTTTGCATCGATAGCTCAACTATCTCATTATAACTACTAGAGGTCTGTCATGCACGACTGTTTGATGAATAAGTTTTAATGCACCACCACTATAGTTTTTTAAAGAATTTTTTTGTATCTTTATCTGATCAAAATTAAACTGTTCAATAGTTTCGTGCACCTATCAATTTATTATTATTGAGTAATTAATCAACTAATTAATTCATAATTTGGACGAAGAATATTTGTTTTTGTTGTTGTTTTACCGATGGTGCTGTTAAAGAATAAAAGTTAATCCTACCTGCTGTTTGTCTTCTTTTTTTTCTTTTTTCACTTATTCTCTATTTTTTTTGTTTTGTTTGACCTTAATAATAAAAATACTCAGTTATTCGTTGGATCCATATTGATAAAGAATCTCAAACGTTTTATTATCCTATTTTTTGTTGTTGTTGGTGGTGGTAGTGGTGATGATTATTATCCTATTATGCGTGTGCACAATCCATATAGCAATAAATAATGTTAGTCATATTCAATGTTTCTATTTTTCTTCTATAAAATGATTAGTTTATGTTGTTTTATTCAAAGTCCAGTTATTATGAATAGGTTTCTTTTTATTCACAATTTTTCTCACCCATATACAGTTTTTAGTTTATATGTGTGTTGATACTCATTGTATTTCTACTGTACAAAACCCTTGGGGTTTTTTAATATTTACTGATTGACTTGTTATTCCTCTTTTAAACATTTGTTTGCTTTATTCTTTCCTTTCCACTACTCTCTCTCTCTCTCTCTCTCTCTCTCTGTGTGTGTGTGTGGATGTGATTATCGACCTGACAGAGTAATAGGATGTTAATAATCAGAGGGGTCAAAAGGTGGAAAATCTCATTAAAAGTGATAAATTAACAAAAAGAAAACCTGAGAAATTTTATTTTTAAATGTGCACCAAATACTTTCACATCAAGATATCAGCACTATATGTTTTAAGTGATATCACAAGGGGTTTTTGTGGATATTATAGTAATTTTAATAGTTGAGGTCATGTGTCAATTAAAGCTAGACCACCATGAGAAACCTGGAAGCAGTGAACGGTCGTTTCGTCCCATTGTGAGAGTCCTCAGCAGTGCCGTCCAGTGCTTCCAGGTTTTTAATGGTGGTCTAACATCAATGAATTCATGATCTCAATCACAAAACCTAATAATCTCCACAACCCTATACTGGTTATTATTTTGTTAAACTGACTCACCGCCACTTAATTAGTATCGACTTTCTACTCACTTATAATGCATATATATTAGTGTAGAACCTTGATGAAAAACTGATTAGAATGAAAATTTTTTCTCAGCTTGTCTTTTTAACGTCTCAATCAGAATATTTATTGAATCTTCATTTGTTTTGAGAAGTATTTACATAACACTTACACATAGCCTTCAAACGTGTATTTGCATCTTTCGGTGTGTTCTGCCATCTGAACTGTCTTCTCGTCTGATCTACATGTGTTGTGCCAACGCCACGCTTTCGATGTACTGAAGCTCTTCACTTTGTCTGGCGATTGTCGCATAATCGACTCCACATTCTGCTGCATACTACATACAAACAATCCTGTGAGTAATGTCCGCCTTTCCAATCTTCAAGACTGCAGGCGTGCTGAACTCTGTAGTTTTGTTTTCACCGGTTCCGATCTGTCAACCGACTACATCCACTTTGATACTAAAAATATCACATATCTCACATCTAACATACAACTTAATACACAAAAATTATTCTAACTTAGGAGCCTGTATTTGGATATTTATACTAATTAGTATCTGTTGCCTAACTACATTATTCTATAGGTTCTTGTGGGAATCTTTCTAACAACCCAATGTTTCACAGAAATTAATATCAGTGCATACAAAACGACCATTTGTCATTTCAGCCTAATTACTGTTTTTATATATGTAACAATTCAGTTTAGAAGGACTATGCAAACTTAAAATTTCCTGCTTTCATGATAAGATTTATATTATATATAAGGTATATACTCCTGCCTGACAGTTATGAATAGTAGTAATTCACAAAGTATGACATGATAATCCAAGAAATCTTCAAACTTCCCATCAATATAACATAATTGACTCGTTACTATGTAGTTTTTTTCTTCTCCTCTTATAAGTTTCTTCATGTTTCTGTGCGAAATATATCAACTAGTAAAAGAAAATTATTCATAATTTTTAATAATATTCATTCATGCGTGTACTACATTGTCAATGAAGTGAAGTTTAACAGTATGACTAACTAAGTTCCTATCAAAAGATAGTAATCATTCCATTACATTGTTAATAATCTTTCAATTGTAGTCAATCTATGATGAGAACTATCTTTTCCCTTAATCATAGTTCTATACCAATAATTATATACATATAAAGTTTAGTTTAGTCTTATAGACAAATTTTATTTTCAACTAATCTCTTCAATATTAGATCTTTATCATTTAATATGATACTACTCATATTTCTACTGATTGACAATCAAGTACTCATAGAAGTAATCAGTAAATTATTAATAATGAATGCCGTTCCACCATGTCTTCTTATGTCAATCAAAATTGATATTATTTTGTTTAAATAAATTAATTCATGGTTCAATGATTATATAATATATAGATTGTTAACACTGTTGGATGCCGGCTCAGTGGTCTAGTGGTTAGGCGCTCGCGAGGCATCGGTATGGTGCATTTGCACTACTGAAGAGTCCCATACTAGGACGAAATGGCTGTTCAGTACTCGCAGGTTTTTTATGGTCATCTAGCTTCAACTGATTCATGATCTCAACTATTAAAGATAAATTTCTGATTGTGTTTGTAATACTTGTTACTTGTATGTATTACATTATATATATATATATATATATATATATATATATATATATATATATATATATATATATATATATATATATATATATATATATATATATATATATATATATATATATATATATAACCACCATTTAATTAACTACTTCTAAGAATCTGATGTTGATCTTGTGCTAATGAAATGTGACAACTTGGATCGGTTCATATATATGCCTGGTCTTACGTTGTAGCTGACTGACATTTTTCTATTCAGTGTATATTAAGCAACTTTGATTAGATTTTTTTCCTTGTTCTGTACGATTATTTGTGTAACATATTTGATTTCAAATAGTAATTGATTCAATCAAAAGTATTCTGTTATATTGAAAAGTGTTACATAATCAATCATTTTGGATGCATGTGTTTTATTGATCAAATGTAATAGGATAAAGCTTTGTTTAATCACTTCCAACCCACGAAAAGAAGTGCTCATCAAATTTTCCGGTAATGCCTCGGATTTCGCATTCTCCACGGGATCAGCTAAATTAATAAATATACATAGAAGTAGTAAACCAGATAACATATTCTTTGGTATAACAACTACCATTGATCGGCTAGAGAATGATGAATAAGAATTTGTTAGCCGAAAGGTCCTGTTGACAGGTCTATTTAGTCTATCATTTAGGATACTCATTCGTTACTTATGAACAGTTCATATCCGTTAACTTTATACATATACTTCTTTCAAAACGATATTGGTAGCCCACAATAATCAATAATTTGTTCTAGTCTTTTGTCTATCGACATAATATACTGGTATTAGCAACCTCAGAGATTATCTATACTACTAGTTTATTCTCACATTCATCAATCACTAAGAAATTTGGTAAGCAACTAACTTCATGATAAAAAAAGTATTGAAATCTGGCTTTACAATGTGAAATTTTTTGTACTCTGTGTATTTTATGCAACACTATATTTTGTTTTTTATTTCTGTTAAACCAGATTTATCCACATGGGGTTGCAGTCAAACATATGCATGGTCTATTTCGATCTGTTGGAATTAATAACTGTGCTGAACCAGGCAATCAACTTCATTCACGATTTTATGTAAGCTTATCATTGTCAGTACTTATATATATAATTCTCTATGACATTCACATTACATGTCCAATCCGCCAAAACAAGTCTTTCAAAATGGTAAAATGATTTCAATTATCGTAAATATATCCGGACACACATGACTGAACCTCACCATTGATTAATATGGTGTCGTGACTGGACTTCAACAATCCTTCAGAGACAACAATGACCAGACACATGAAGAGTCACCAAATACTCAACCCGAAGGTCAGGCTTCACTAATGCAGAGTAGGAATCCTCTAACCAACGTATTGTACACGACCTTTCACACCCAGACTAACATCACGACAGCGCCAAAGATAGCCTAGATTGATATATCTTGCCCTGCCTCTTATTATACGTATATTAGTCTATTGATTCACGTTACCACCGGCACTCAGATAACTACCCAGATACATGAACATTTCTACTGATTGCAACAACTCAACATTAAGAGTGAGTGAGAGCACAGGTTCCTGTCAGACTGGCAGTATTTCGTACTCTGGAAATATTATTCATAAGTTAGAGTTCCTTGCAAACCTCCGACTCATCGGGTGGATCAGTTCACATCAACCAGGAAATAAATGACAATCTGATCGGTGTTGCTGAGGCGATAAATCACATGAACATTGCTCCTTTAAAATCTCTGTCCATGGTCCAAGACGCTTCTGGATGCTACTTACTGGCTTTCTACCAGTCTATTCGATGGTTTCGGTCATAAAAGACTGCTTGCTGACAGCGGTTCAGGTGTGTAGTAATGGTTCTGTAAGTTGCCAGATGCATCTAATGTTTCCGACTCGATAGCGAGTTCTGACCATCACTTTTCTCGGTTCTTGTTCAAAATTTGTGAAATTTCCTTGCGTATGAATCCACGATTATCATCAAACTGACGATTGACCGGAGTAGACTCACGTGTTTCAAGGAGTTCTAAGTCGCCTGTGTAAACTTGGCTCTTTAAAGTGGGACGTTTTGCAAAGAATCAGCATACGTGACTCATCATTTTCATGAAGCCATACAGATCCAATCGATGCTGCTCCTCTAGACTCTCTTGTTGGTTTGTAGATAATCTTAGACCTAACTCGGTTTAATATTTGGTTGCAAAGGGGGCCCCATACATTTCGCCTAAATTGATCGTTTCAGGACAATGGTTCTGTTGGCCACTGAAACGTAAGACAAGCTTAACCCACGCAATGGCATAATCAGAATGCAGATAGGTACCCTGAAACGTGAGACATTTTTGTATGAATCTATGCTAGCGGTATCTGATTGCAACACGATCAATGTGAGTGCATGTTTAGCGAAACTATAATTTATGAACGAACCAATCACGTATAAGATAACAGATCTCTGATTTTGGCACGAAATCCACTCATCCATTTGGGTAAATAGAGGTTTGGTATCATAGTTGATGTCAGTTCGTGATGAAAACCTGTAGATCTCATTCCTAACCCTAACCATCAACTGTAAATCATAATTCTAATCCCTCACGCTGGTTTATAACCCTCATTTGAATCTAGTTATTAATTGAACACTATCGAGGTCACTTGAGCGTTTCTCGAAGGTCGTCCATAAATTATAGTCTCACCGTACTTTAGGTAGTAAATCGGTAATGGTTGTGTCGCAAGTTGATGCTGTTATTTGTGCTTATCTGCATGAGACAGTCACCGTCATCTGTGTTGCGACGAACTATAGCCCACTGACTACCCGAACCACTATCCTCTCTGTCTAAATGTGTGACCTGATAATCCAAATCTTCATCTAACACTACAAAATCTGTCAAACGTTCTTTCTTGAAAAGTTGTTTTAGTATTAGAAATATAACAAATGTCAATATCAAATCTTTTCGAATTCTTTGCTGAACCTGTGTATTTTCATATCAGCTCTTGTGTATGATGGTTATTTCGAATGGTACATATATTTTCAGATAATCTTACAGGAAGGTTTTTTTAAATCCAAACCCGTAGATATCTTAGACCGTCTAGACAAGACAGAAATTTGATACCAGACGAATCGCTCAGTAAGTTGATGGATAAAATAAGGAATAAAACGGAATACAAAAACAATCGATGCAAAATAAATTCAAACTTAACCATGTAATTCCGAACGCTGTTTACTCTAATACGAACCATTGGAAGAGTTTTTTCCCTGATGGTAATCATAATCGATCACCGATAGGAATTACTCTATTCCAAAAAGCTTTTGTAGGGTAAACACATGTCCCATCACTGTCTTTTCTTTTATAATGGTTCACTTATTTAAGATCTTTTTTGTTGTTGTTCGATCTTCTACAAAACTCGTTATTCTTATATGTAATATATTTACTTTCTGAACGTTATTTCATTTATGGAGGGCTTTCATGTATAGTTATCTGTTTATTTTATAGTTTATTTTCAAATTAGTATCAGAAGGGGTTTTGTGGATATTATAGTAATTTTAATAGTTGAGATCATGAGTCATTTGAAGCTAGACCACCATGAGAAACCTGGAAACAATGGACGGCCGTTTCTTCCTATTGTGGGACTCCTCAGCACTGCGCACCCACGATCCCGCCTCTCGAGATTCGAATCCAGGACCTATCAATCTCGAGCGCGAACATTGAGCCGGCCGGCATCCAACGGTGTTAATGTTTAACTTCAACTAATCCACGAAATTGAGCGACACATTCACTATTATCATCAGTGAGTTACTATCTCACTCCACTTGTCACTGCCTCTTAAAGAATAAAATACAAATGCTATTGTGGATAAAAATGTTTGCAAAAACAATCATATATATATTTCATTCCTTCTCGTCATATAATTAAAAGGCTTACATGGGAATAGAATATCATTTAAACAACTATATGATGCTATAAAATACTGTTTGGTCCTTGTGTATTCGAAATTGTATTGGACTACAGATAGAAAGACGAACTAATCAGATAAATAAGGTTATGGTCATATTTCCAAAATATTCATTCATATTGAAACACATAAACATTAGTGCAAAGAGGCACCAAATAGATATGCACCACATAAATCGTTCGATTTGTGTGCGTACTGGAATACTGCCCGTCCCCTCCATTTCGTAAACAACATCCCTGGTGCAAGAAAGCAGTGAGTTGGATTTCCCTATCAATGGCTGTATGCACGTGGTCATGTGAGAGCATTTGGAGAGTGAGTGCTGTCCCTCTTTACTCCCGTCTATACCAGGGCATTTGAGAGCTCTATAATATTATGATCAGAAAATTACTGTTAAACTGTGAAAACCTAATAAAAAAATTTTAATAACCATTATTATTATGGCATGCTATTGATTTATACAGACTTTTTTTCATTAACTAAAGAAAAGTGTTAAAATCTCAATATCAGTTCATCCCTCTTCTAACTAACGATTGATCCTTTCTATTTAGATCCATATAGATCATGATTACTTATTTCAAAGCTTATGAGATTGTTATTATTCCCAAATAATATCAATCAGTAACTTTAAAATTTGTATTTTTTAAAAAAAATCATTTTTCAAAACAGTAAATTATCTGCCCCCAGTATAAATAGAACAAAAAGTTTTTTAATCAAATGTTTTTTTTCTAAAAAAAAAATATAAAGTATTTGGTGCCTAAAATTATTTGTTATGGATACTGTTACTAAGGCTGTGAATATTAATAAGCAATTAGTTTTAATATAACTTATTCACTTTTATATTGTTTATTTGATTGCTATTATTATCCTAATTGGCTATTCTCCATTGTTAAATAATTTCTCTTAGCGCTTGTGTATTCACTTTTGATATATTCTTTCACAATCTCTTATCGTTATGATTCAGAGTTGAAAAAAACTGTTCTTTCAGAGTACTCGCAATAAATAACACATCGTTTTTCTTTAGTAGGTGTCATATTAACTTATGACATCAGATAGAAGAATATTCAAAATTATAAAACACTGGTTATCTATTATACGGCCCCTAAATGACTTGGTACGGACGAGAGTGGAGAGAGTCAGCTCTCCCTCTCCAAATGATCTCACATAACCACGTGAATACAACCACTGACAGGGAAGTCCAACTCACTGCTTTCTCGCGTCGTTACTGTTGTTTACGAAGTTGAGAGGATGAAAAGCGAATGTCCGGCACTTTAACCAGGTTGATGGAATCGGAAAACCATGATTCCAAACCAATGGTTCACATGGACTCCACGATCCTGAGGGAAAAAATGGCGTATGAACCAATCGTTGGTCACTGGCTACCATGAGACTACATATCCCTACGTCGTTCCACTGCCTTGTGGATGAGATCTTTAGGTCAAAGGCATCGGGTGTGGTCTCCTAAGAAAACCATCTGTTTTAGTTGGAGCACCCGGGTAGTATCCCAGCACGCACAAAAATCGAATGATTTATGTGGTGCATATCTATTTGGTGCCTCCTTGTATTAATGTTTGTGTGTTTCAATAAATAAATATTTTATGTTGCTCATTCATAAAATCCTTTCTGGTCTAACGATACATTTTACCTGTTGAATAGATATTTTCAAACAACTTTATTATAAAACATGTTTAACGAACATCACATAATTGATAATCATGGCAGACTTTCTTACAGTTGTTATTAAATACTTCTTCTAAATTGGAATAATACAATTTCCTACTCAAATTTTCATGTTATTCATTCTGATAAGATTTTTTTAGTTCATTTTCTGTAGAGATGTACTACTGAAAATGTAGTAAGTAGTTAACGGAAGTTCCATATTTTCACTTTTTTAGATGTCTTATAGTAAGGACTTTATACTTGTATACACCAACTGTCCACATGGTCTCATACTCACATGTATACAAGAATTATATATATATAACATTTTAATTATAGCTTCTTCAATTGTTTTCACCAGTTTAATGATTCATGTGTTTTCCGTATATGTGTACGTATCGATATTGTTTTTTTTCTTGTAAACTATCATTGTTATTGTACATTGTATTTTCCTCCTTTTTTTCTTCATTTCTCTCCATGAATAACTGTATATTTGTCTGACCTCAAAATTTACAGTCCTACAAATAGGTTATTGTAGTTTTTGTCTATTAAATGACTCAGCTGAAATAGAGGGTTAGGTTAAATGCTTATCTCTTTAGATAGATAGTATCATGATTTTTTGATTTTTTTATAAGTAGTGCTATTAGTTGTTATTGTTCTTCTTGTTTGATTTGTGTTTCCGTTCAACCAGATGGTCTAATAATAAATTTTTTTCATTTAAATAATTAGCAACAAATGAAAATGTTCACTGTGCCTGTTTATCATTAATATCGATTAGTTATAAATGAAAGTTTTTCTTATTTATTATCGAGTCATCAATGAGATTACTACTAATGAATCTAGTTCAATTATTGAAAAAAGTGGTATTTAATTTTGAATTGTCTGAACTGACTATTATAAACAAAGATAGATAGTGGCTAACAGTGGAATCCAGGATGTGTGTTTCGTCCTATTTAGGACTCGTCAACAGGATGTACCTGCATCACAGAGTTGATATTCACTCTGTGACTTCAACCCAATACCGTTCGTTTCAAAGGCCATCTCGTTATCCACTTAGCCAGTGAACATCAACTCTGAGATGCAGGTACATCCGGTTGACGATTCCCAAATAGGACCAAACGCGCGTCCTGGATTCCACTACTAGCCACTATCCATTTTTAGATATAATGCTTATAAATTAAGCCTATGTCAAGATAATCCGCACACTAAGCACATATGTCAATAAGAGACTGAATATCAGTGGAAAAATTCAAACAAGCAATACCAAGTGGATTGGACTATTATAACCTTGATGTTCTTGAAAAATTTCAAAATACATAACTTTTAAATTTATTTTAATTAATATATTTTCAATCATTCAAATAAGAATTTACTATTTAAAATCTTTATGAAGATAAAGAATGATTATATTTGTGCCATAATGCGTAAAATTAAAACAATTCCACTGTATAACTTTTATTGACTTTTAGTCTATCTAAAATGATAGAACCCTCCAATTAAGTATCCACTTTCACTTTCATCCCTCACTTAAATATTCGTGTAAGTATTTGTGTATACTAGTATTCAAATATAAACATAAGCTAGACTTGAAACATAAAAATTACATCACTGTGTATCTGAGATATTAATTTATAACAAGAAATTATTGAATATTTGCTTAATATTACTGGAATTAGTATTTTTCACCATATCATAATAAAATACTGATTAATTTGAAAATATTGTTCCACAGTCATTTGGTCTATTTCTTTTTGTATTACTTTTTTCTTTCTAAACTGTCAAATTCCCATCTTTTAATTATTGAGATAACTATATGGGTATTTTCTTTTTTTAAACAACTTTAATCTTTTTGTGTTGTTGAACTAACTGCTTGGTAACAATTGGCGTTGTTTATTTATTTATTTGAACGCATAAATATTGGTTCAAGGAGGCACCAAATAGATATGCACCACATAAATCATTCGATTTTTGTGCGTGCTGGGATACTACCCGGGTGCTCCAACTAAAACAGATGGTTTTCTTAGGAGACCACACCCGATGTCTTTGACCTAAAGATCTCATCCACAAGGCAGTGGAACGACGTAGGGATATGTAGTCTCATGGTAGCCAGTGACCAACGATTGGTTCATACGCCATTTTTTCCCTCAGGATCGTGGAGTCCATGTGAACCATTGGTTTGGAATCATGGTTTTCCGATTCCATCAACCTGGTTAAAGTGCCGGACATTCGCTTTTCGTCCTCCCAATTTCGACTCTCCTCACTCTCGGCATTTGGAGGCAATGTGAAGCGCTCCACGGCTTTGCGTGTCGTCCTTGCGCAGGGGCCATGCTAATGTTACCTGTAATGATGAGTGCTGTCAAACAGTTACGTATATTGTAAAGCAGTTTTGAGTGCTGTAATCAGTAGATAAATATTATATCCCTTTAAAACCCAATAGTATTATCAATATATATAGTTTGAAAACCAGTTCCTTTTTAAAAAAAGATACATTTCATCTATTCACTGTAAAATGTTTCTTAATATAAGTCGTGTGCACCATTCCCTTAGTTTCAGTAAACTTACATATATCAACCTTCCTGATATTCATTTACTGTTGTATTGTATACCTATTGATCAAATATACCTATGATTTAAGCTATCGACTGTTGCAGTAGGGTAGCTGTTTTGATCATCTAGTCAACATATTGCTTAATCGTTCCAACAACACTATTTCGCGTTGAATTCTAAAAAAATTGTTCTTGTAAATTTCGACCTTTGAGTTAAGTTAGTGCAAAAAAATACTCAGAACTAGACAAAGTGTCTGTCCAGTTATATTTGACTTCTAAGTGTTAATTTTGAAAGTAATGAAGAAATAAAATTACTGTCCAGATGTTAGGCATAACTTACAAAGTGGCTTTATGGAACTAGCTATTCTGTTTGTTTATACTTCTCAGTAAAATGTTTAAGAATTCTTGCACAAGATATTACCATCAAGCGATTGTAAACGTCTCTATCTAACACATCTAAATGGTGTGTTACTTAAACAAGTGGGAATATGGTATCAATTTTAGTCAGTTTCGATTAGTATGACATAGGTTACCATTCAATGAACAGCTTGACCAACTCAAGAGACGTTATACTGTTTGCATTATATTATTGTTTGACTATCAAGTATACGAATTATTGCATTCTGACTTATCGATTGAGTTGTGCGTAAATGTTCTGTGTTGGTTCGTGGATGCTTACTATCGATGAGTCTTAAATTAGAATAGTATCGTTGTACGGTATTTCTAAACTTTAAATGATTTTTTATATTGTCATTCAGTGATTTAAAAGACTTCTCAGTATAGGATTGTGGAAATTATTAGGTTTTTGATTGAGATCATGAACCGATTAATGTTAGACCAATATTGAAAACCTGGAAACACTGTTGGTTCAGTGATCTAAACGTTGAGTATTTACGCACGAGACCGATAGGTCCTAGATTCAAATCTCATGAGGTTGCGAGATGGTCGATGTGTACTGCCGTCTTGTGTTTCCAGATTTTCAATGATGGTCTAACATCAATCGGTTTATGATCTTAATTTAAAAGAAGTATTAAATAGATTTGTTAACAATTATTATTGAACTGGTAATTTGTGCTTACCATTACATGTAACCTCTGTTTACTTGTTTGTTTTGTTTTGTTTTTTTCTAGTTTATATTCGACAATCCGAAATATATAAGTAGTATACTATTGTGTCTTTCATCATTTAGTGTACTCTATCAATGTATTTGTTCATATTGGATTTATGAATGGTATAAATTAATTGGTTTAATTATTGATGCTTTATTTTGTTTTCTTAATTTATATTTACATTTTCGTACTTTAATTTTAATACATTTTGTTTATTCTCAAGAGAAATTATGTAATTTAACAAATTATTTAAATATTCATTCATTTCGTTTATTTTCATCGAATTATTGTCATTCATCTACAATTTCTATTACTAATTAAATTCTATTATCTTCTTTCTAATGTCAATTTATTTAATTCATCATTATTATACCTTTTGTTTGTTTTTTTTTTCTTTTTGTCTTGACAATCATAGATTACTTTTTGTAAGTTTCATTTTTAATTGTTGTTGTTGTTGTTGTTGTTTTACTTTTTCTTAATCGATCATATTTTCCATTGTTTAGTTTCAAGGTATATTTTCCTTGTATAAATCTATGGGAATATGTTCTAGTTACTACATGGTTACTAAATCATATACTTGCGTTTTTTTTATTTTTTTGTTAATAAAATAATAAATAAATATGGTTTTACAACAATTATTACTTTTGTAATACTTACTTATGCCTATTACTCTCGATGAAGCATAGACGGATAACCAACATTCTCCAACACACTATATCCTCGGCATTCCTTTCTACTTCTATCTAATTGTTGTTTATTTTTCTCATGTGTGTCTCCGTTTCTTGGTGTAATGTGTTTTTTTTTTGGTGTTTGTCTTCTCCTTTGATCTTGAGAATTCCATGTGAGTGTTTGTCTTGTGATGCAGTTGGATGCTTTCTTCAATGTGTATCCTATCCATTTCCAGCGTTTCTTCCGTTGGGATCTGGTTTTTTCTCACCCATAGTGGGTTGTTGCTGATAGTGTCTGGTCAACGGATCTGAAGTATTCTGCATAGACAATTATTAATAAGCACTTGTAATAAATAAATAAGAATATGGGAGGATGGTGTTGACAGCGAATAAACTATTGAATTTATCTTAGTTTCTGATAAAGATTAGAGTAAATAAGTTCTACATAGCATTTGGCAACAATCTCAGAACCTTCAATGATTTACGCCTTAATTATATCGGCATAATGTTTGTTCTGTTGTCGTATTTTTTGCCCTAAATAGATAAACAGTCATCATGGTGACTGATTTTCACTTTAATAAATTCAAATAAGTATAAACAATTTCAGAAGGGTTTTTCTTGGATAGTATAGTAATTTTAATAGTTGAAATGATGAGTCAGTTGAAGCTAGACCACCATGGAGAACCTGGAAACACTGGATGGCCGTTTTGTCCTAGTGTGAGACTCCTCATTAGTTTGTATACACAATCCTGCTTCGCGGGGTTCAGATCCAGGACCGAAATCGTTGTTGAAGATAAATAATCATTAGAATCACTCAGCTTAGTTGGACCGGGATCACAAGGTTTAGCATAAGTTTCAGCAAAATAAACAGTGGTATTACAGGTTGACTGAATGTGTCCAATCATACCACATTTAAAACATTTAGGATTACGAAATACACATGGATTGTATGGGTGAAATTTTTCACAGAACGTTTACCAAACTTGTGCTCTTCTTTGCGTCCTGCTTCGAGACTCCTCAATAAATTACTTGCATAATCTTGAGTACGTATTCGATTGGGATCACGTAGCAATGTTGGGATTTTCGATGTCCTGACGAATCATTTTTCGAAATTTTTATACTTTACATGATCTAGCAATAGCCCGTTGAGAGTTGCATAAGAAAGTGAAATAAGCTTTTCTGGAAACGCCAGTTTTTAATAAGCTGTGTGCTTTTCCAATGAATGTAAGGAAATCAGCCACAATATTAACATCCTCAACATCTTCACTCATCATAGTTTAGATTTCGAACCTTTTCATATGATCCTCAAAAGCATCAAAATTTGAATGTCTAACTCTCCCATCGCAGGCTTCATAGCGACACCAATGTGATGATTAGAACTATTTGAGTTATATTATAAAAACTAGGAATACCCGAATTAGCGCAATTTAAGTAGACAGAACTAGGTGAGCAAACACGAACGTATTGTATTTGGAATCCGAAATCAGGAAGTCATCAAGTACCAAGAAATAATTAGTTCATACAAACACCAGACTAAGATCTCACAGTTTGAAGTATAGATTTGAATTAATACAACGACTGAGCAGCTTAAATGTTTCTGATAGATTTATTGTGTTAGCTGACGTCTTATGCTTTTTGTTTATAAAGATTCGCTTGCAAGAATCCATAAAAATCATATACTGAAATCTTAACCTTCTTCCTTTACCGAGTAAATAATTCGAATAGCACCTGTCCTCTGAAGATGTACAATCCCAGTATAATGTGATGTACCCCGAATTCATGAAGCTGCTAAAATCTTAAGTTCAATTCTACCTGATACGTATGTGGAACTTGTAACAGATGAGTCTAAGCCATCAATCAATGGAGCATTATTCTGCCTTACATATATTGTTGTAATAGCTTGAAGCATTCTACATGACTACTTAATTTAAAAAAGTACGTAATGAAATAGAATTTAGTATGGAGCACGATGGTGAAAAAAAAATCCATTTCTTAGATGTGAAATTCAACGAAATGTAGGAGGGGAACTACAAAAGTACACAGTAAAGTTTTTATAAACTACAGCAGTTTTTGTCCAATCAATTGTAAAAAAGGGGTTGTGTTGACCGTTTTTAACCGTACTCGTCAAATCTTTTTAGAAGGAAAAACCTGTAGTCGTTAAAAATATATCAACGCGAAAATGGATACTGATAGAAATTCATCGATAAGTATGCTAAAACCAGTCATTCACATTCATTAATGCCAATTGTTTTACACTATCTCAATGTAAAAATTCTATCACATATTTGGTTGTAAGCAGCTGACGAGAAACCCCGAAATATTATGAATTCATACTACTCTGCATCAATATTTGTTCTTGCTTTATTTAAATTCATAAAGGTAACTAACTGCATGAAATTTATAATACAAGTCAGTTGGAAAGTCTTGTTTCTTACACCTGAGCTTAAAAAGCGATAATGGTAATTTTATAACTTGTGCCCTGTGTCCTATTAATGTGTAACGTAATGATACCGACAATTACAGAACAGTGAATTATCGATCGGACCAATCACGCATAAAAGTCGTGTGAGCAGTCTAGAGTACTTATTGGTCCTGTTTCCTGCCTAGCTCAGCCAGTTAAGTCTAGAACACCAATCTCAGCCTCTGCAATATGAATCATATATTTCAAACATACTAGATTTATATACCAACCAAACAGACCACATCGTACTATATAATGGAAAATAACATTTGCACAAGATTTGGCCAAAAGTGGCTGTGAATGTGGGAGATGGTAATTGATTGACAGGGCATAACTCAAGAATGGTGAATCGTATAATAATAGTTCATAGGTCAAATTAAAGCTTATGTTAAGAGGAACACGAATATGGATAGTTTAGTTATTTAACAATTATACGATAAAAATATATGTCTATTATTAGTCCATAAATAGATTCCGAAAGTTACCATTCATTCTTCTCATTGGGATATAACACCTCCCCTTTTTTTGAAGATCCAGAGTTAATATCCAGATTTTAAATTTTCCGAGTTTATCCTCCCCCACGAAATAATGTTGGATCATCATATCCTCAAGTTACATTTAATGTGACGCTATATTTCTCATATTGAATAGAGAATCTTCTAGAATTGACTGGATGGTGAGGATCAACAACTTTTGATATGAGGTTATCAGAGTTTGATTCTTCTGAAATATTTACATCAAATTTATTGAAAACCTCATTAGTAGATAATGGATGATTGGAGTAAGCAGCATCTATCAAAATTGTATTAGTTTTTTGATCATCTTTTAATGCATCTGACAGGTAATAATAAATTGTAAAATGAGCGTTGGCCTGAAGATTGGTTACCAAGTGAGAAAGCTCCCCTCATTGTATGAAATGATCTGTTCTCGAAAACAGACAAAAATTGACAAGTGTAATTTTCTTAGTACCCCCAATCAAATTATTCAATTACATAGTATATGCATAAATATTAGAAAAACAAAAAGAGTACATGTTAGAAAGAATTTTATATCAAAGGGCACTAGAGTTATGTGAATAGACCAACAGTTTGGCAATCAATGAATAGCAGACATATTACCAAACTTCATGTTATAAACAGATAAAGAACGTAAACTTTAAGTTTCACTGAATCAAACGCACACAAAAAGCCAAACCAAACTTCTATAATTAAAAATAAACAGTTATCAACCTACAAGTACCATAGTAAATTATTATTTTTGATTAAAATCATATTAAATGATGAATATGATTTGTACATTGTTATGTAATCTCTGCTTACCTGAAAGTTACTTTCGAAATTGTCCATTTGTTAATTTTTACTCATTAAACCAAGAAAAGAAAACTAAACCAAACTTCAAATCTCATTTCATCCTATTGACAGACTCCTCAGTAGTGCGTATCCACGATCAAGCCGCATCGCGAGATCTGAACCTAAGACCTATCGGTCTCGTGCAGGAACGCTTAACCTCTAGACCATTGAAATCGCCAGCATCCAATAGTGTTAATGTCTAACTTCAACCCATCCACGAAATCGGGCCACCGTCCAGTGCTTCCAAATTTACCATGGTAGTCTAGCTTCAATGTACTCATAAATTCAGTTATCAAATTACTACAATCTCTACAAAACTCTTCTCTGATTTTAATCATCATGTGCTCTCTAGTGACTGGCTTCAAGAGGTAATTCCTGGCGTTATAGTGAGAAGCAGTGACGAGTAGAATTCAACCGGGTCTATTGTGAGATAGTGACTCACTGAAGACAATGATGGATGTGGATTAGTTGAAGTTAGACATTAAAACCGTTGGATGCTAGCCGGCTCAATGATCTAGAGGTTCTGGGTTGGAATCTTGGGAGGCGGCGGGATCGTGGATGATAATAATGAGAAACCACGAAAATCAAATGAATTCATATTATTCTACCTTAATTACTATTCCTAATTTATGATTATCAGAAAAATCAATCTATAATCATTAGTCTTCTAATTCGATTTCAAGGTCAATTCAAAGAGTTGAAAAATCAATCAAGTAAAAATATCAATACAATAAATCAATAAAATTTGTATCATAATTCAAATATTTTTTTAAATTATTATTCAAGTGGCCCAAATTCTATTTCAAAGATAATATTTACTCACATAATTCAAAATAAAAGTAACATAGAACAATTGAAAAGCTTTTGTCATAGTAACTATGATATGTTAAAAGAAACTAGTGTTGTTTTTTTTTTAAACTAAACATATTCATCTTGTATACAATAATTCCGGTTACTATAGCAACGTATTGTATTTATGTATATTTTGTAAAACCATATTTTCGTCAGAAACTTTTTTATTAAATAAATTGAAATAGAATGAAATGATTGGAATTTGTGCAATTTCTACCTTTTGTATAAAATAAGAATAATGTTCACATCTATCCATATATCTCTGTTCAAAAGTGAAGGTGGGTTTCATAAATAAATTCT